TTTCAACAAGTATATATTGAATGCCTGCTACGTGCCAGGTATTCTTAGGCCCAAAGGATAGAACAGTGCACATGAAGGTACGGTTTCTAAACTCAGGGAGCTTTCCTATTTATAGAATTCCCGATATTTGACAGTGAATTAAATCTTATTTTATTTTATTTCAGAGTCAAAATTGAATAAAGTATTTAGAAAAGAGGAAAACTGTGCCTTAATGACCTATCTGTGCTATCAAGCTTTTTTTTTTTTTTAAACTATCTAGTCTTATATACATCTTCCTGTGAGTTATGTTCTTGTACTTGTTTCATTAAAAAGTAAATATTGCTTTTCGTGCTCTGTGCTAGGCACAGAAGATATAATGCTCTCCAGGAAACTTTAATCTAGTGTGTCTGGGTTATACCTGTAGTCATGTCTGAAGAAAAGCAGATAGTCTCAGTGCCCCCTCAAAGTTTCTTCCCATATCCCCTTGCTTCTATAGTAATTCATCTGATTATATTTAAATTCCAAATAAGTTGTATTATCTTAAATTGTAGTTATTCTAATCATATTGATAACAATTTCATGGATATTGATACTGCATCTTTAATTCATAACAGGTTGAATCGTTTATTTTGGACCAAGAAGATCTGGATAACCCAGTGCTTAAAACAACATCAGAGATATTCTTATCAAGTACTGCAGAAGGAGCAGACTTACGCACTGTGGATCCAGAGACACAGGCACGACTGGAAGCATTGCTAGAAGCAGCAGGTACTTTATTTTTTGTTCTTTCTTTTTCATCTCTTTAAAAGTCTAGATCTCTTTACAAAGTTACACAGAATTATCCCAAAATTATATAATATTATACAAAATTTGAAATTTTGGTAAATTTTATTTTACTTTCTATTTCCTAAAGAAAATGTTCACATTTTAGATTTCTGGGCTCACTGCTGATATTTTTAAGGTATGAAGATAATCAGCTGATTATTAGGGAAAACTTACCTGTTACCAATTGCATCATAAAATAAAAACTTGGGAGATAAGGTAATCAATTTATGACTTCTTTATCTTAACTGATTTGGAGAACTGTGTGTTGATTACTTACGTATTCACTTTAATCTATGTTTAACTTCATTATAAATAACTATTTTTTACTTATACATTTATATAAAAATTGAACACAGACTTGGACTAAAATATATCAAGCTATATCAACTACATGTTCTAAAGTAGCAGAAAAGAAAAATCTGTGATAAGCATGCTTTCTCAAAATAATAT